GAGAATTTGGATGTATCAGAATAATTCTTTATTAATTTAAATTTATTCTGAGGTTTCAGTATTTGGTTTATCATTCTAGTTCTTTTCAGCAAATTTTTTTATTTATTCCTGTTTCCTTAATTGTATTCTGTGTTCGTTTATTACTAATTTGTTTGATATCCTCGGGTAGTCGGGCGTGGGCCTGGCCAACCCGCATCCAGAAATTCGGGGGTATCACAGACGTGAAGGCTGATGATGCTTTTATCTTGGGTTGAATGCATCTTTGGGATTGTATCCGGTGTTTGAGTTTTGGTGTGTTGTGTGGCCGTGCGGTCATCATTCCTTGGAAAGTGTGTTGTGTCAGGAGCACTTGGTGCAAATAACACTGGGGACATGTTATTCCTTACAATTTTAGAGTTTAAAGATGTTACGTATTGTATGGGATACTCGAAGATGTACTACGTAAGTATCCTGGTTTAGCTTTCATTTTTGGTTGAGACCGGATTTCAGGGACGAAATCCTTATAAAGGGGGGAAGGTTGTAAGGACTTGTCCCCTTTGCATTTTCACTATTTTTATTTTTCATCATTTTTGGGTCTCAAGTCAAGTGGGGCTGGACCGGGTCATGTGTTTGAAATATTTTCCCGATGCTTTGCATTTATTGTTTTTGGGATATATTGGACCTATATATTTAATTTGGGATGCTTTGGACATCATGTTTTATTTTGGGCCATTCACGTCATTAGTTTTTAGATATTTTCTATTTTTTGGGCCCTTTTGTAATTTCAGCTTTTGTGGGGCCCATGGGAGGCTTTAGAGGCATGTCATATACATATATATGTATATATTTAGAGGGGGAGACAGAGGGGTTTGCAAAAATGGGGCTGGAACCCCATTTCCTCTGTTTTTCCTTTCTTTCTTTTTTCTTTCTTTTTGTTCTTGGTTTCAAGAGCCAATATCGTCTCCTTCCATTGGGATTCTTGTGTTACCATAGGAGAGTATTATGACGGGGCACTAAGGGATTCAAAACCCTTGGTTTTGTTTTTGATTCCAGGCTTTTCGGGTTTTAAGGGCTGAGTCTGAGTTTGGATTCGGAGGCGGCCGTAGGAGGCTTTGTCGTTTCCCTCAGAATGGTAGCTTGATTGGAGCACTTTCTATTTTGGAGGTTTTGAGATTTTCATCTCAATGAGGTAGGGATTTGTTGCGTACGTAAGGCTATGCCTTTTTTGGGTTTTATGAGTTGGTTTAGGTTTATTTATGCATAAGTGTGTATGTGTATACTTAGAGTTGTTTATGTGGATAGACAATGCACTTTATGGTAATTCAGGCATGTTATTAGAGAATGTATGCTTAGTATGGTTTTTTGAAATCTATGCTGCGATATTAAATGTTATCTAAGGCGCTTAGTTGATTTTGTGAGCTATCATTATCGGTATACTTGTTATATTGAATTTGTGGGATCTTGTGGATAACATGTTGTATAATGACACTGGAATTCCTATGTTAGGTTGCCTAGTATGCATGGTATAAATAAATTGCTCATTGAGATATTAGAGCTTGTTTTGATTATATCATGCTTTAAATGTTGTCATTTCATCTTTGAGAATGCCATGATATCATTGGACGTTAGGATATATTGTGTGTGGAAAGCATGAGCTTATGTGCGCTTGTGAAGTGTAATTTGGTTATTTATGGTATGTGGTACTTGGTGGATTTGGTTGATGAGTTTTGGGATAGACTTGGGTCCTTTCGTTTCTTTGAGAATATGAGGATTTGGCTCTTACGGGTGAGCTCGGGCTTCCCATTTGTATAGTGGCTACTAGAGTAGTTCCCAATGGGTTAGTAGCCCGGCAATAGCTATTTTTTGGTGCATGTTGAACACATATGATTGTGTGTGTGTGAGTTTTTCCGGTATATGTATTGCGCATGTGATTGGGCTTTGTTATGACCAAGTTATCCCTATTATGTGATTTCGGATCTTATTTTGAGTTGGCAATCCATGTGTAGTTGCAACTTGGTTTACGGTATTTGTTTTTAATTCCGGTTTAGTTTAAGTTGACATTCATGTATGGTTTCAGCTTAGTTCCCTTACATATTTCATTTGCTATGTTTTACTACTTGGAATGAAATGGATCTTGCATGCTTTTATTGAGGGTTTCATTGTGTATATTTCTACCTATTTGCTAATGATAGCTTAGGATGTTGCCTTTATTATTTTCCTGGAAATTAGATGATAGGGAGCATGTCCCTTGAATTGTTGACATGGACTTTACCTGTGAAGCCAAGGGAATGTAGCACATGTATGTACCTAGAAATGACCTAATGAGCATTGTAGCTCATCCCCTCGTTGACTTCCCCTTTCAGGTTGAAGCAAAGTTCTTGAAGGTGATGCCTATTTATTTATTGCACTTGATGTACTTCATTTGGGTGCCATGTTATTTGGCCATTTATTTGGGATATTACGAGTTGTATTGATCTATTTATATTTTCATTGCCATTTCATTTTGTGGCTAGTTGAGATATTGTGTTTTGAGTTGGGAGTCATTCTTGTTCATAGTAGTCTCCTTCGTGATGTATTTTGGGGAGGATTTATATATATATCTCTCTTCCATTTTGTAGTTCTTCCGGATCTTGTATTTAAGTTTATGTACACATTTGAAATGAGGTAGCTTCATTTACAATCTATGATTACACTTGATACATGAAGAAATGTAACTTGAGGCCTTAAGGCCATTTTGTATTCAATGTATGACTTCTAGGTAAAATGCACACTTTTGTATGCTACACTTGCTCACACTTGTTGTATATATATTTCCATGATATGTTCCATAATTTGGGATGCTTAGATTTCAGTTTTGAGGCCATAGGATGCATGGTTTGGGTTAGAAATGCACAAAGGCATTTTTTAGTGAGTTTTCTGCATTTTTTTGGCTTACTCCCTAGTTTAACTCGACTTGTTCCCGGTACTTCCATGTTTGCTGCTATTTCCCTTCTGTCTATCTTTGGCCACCCTATTTTGTCCTAAGGTACTTAGGAATGTATTGTATAGATGTTTTTGTGTTTCTAGACCTCGTAGGGTATCTCATTTGTGGATTTGACCGTTTTACCCCTTTGTTTCCCCATTCTTGGAATGATTTCCATGTAAGGAATTGGTTTTGATTCCTTTTATTTGTCGCTTCTCAACTTGCATTAGAGTCGAACCTATAGACTCTATTTGGGTTTTCTTCCATTGTCCTAGAGGTGGCGTTTGCCCTAGCGATCTCTCATTTTGTTTTCGCTTCCACTTCCGAACTTGTTGTCGTATTGGGTTTGGGTTCCAACGTACCGGATTATAATGTTTAGGGTCTTCACAAGGTAGGTTTTCATCTTCTGATCCTTGGTCTCGTACTCATCTCGGACTTTCCTGACAACCAATTGATAGTTAGTGTATGCCTTCAGTCGTTCAGCTCCAAGAGCTTTTACCAACCTTAGGCAGGCCAATAGGGCTTCATACCTTGCTTTATTATTAGTTGTTTTGAAACCAAATTTGAGTGCATATTTGATGCTCTCTCCCTCTAGGGAGATAGTTACCAGTCTTGCTCTACTAGCTTGGGCGTTGGCTGATCCATATTTGAGTCATGCATTTACCCATCTTCCGGAGTGAACTCAACTACAACGTACATCTATTATCGACTCGGCCTTTAGGGCGATTCTTGGCTTTTACTGGATATCAAACTCCCCAAACTCTACTAACCATTTCATGGTCGACTTGAGGTATCTCGCTTGTGGAGGACCTGCCTAAGCAGTTGGTTTGTTAGCATTACTATTGTGTGTGCTTGGAAATAATGCCTTGGCTTCCTTGCAGAGATGACCATGGTTTAGGCCAACTTTTCTACCCAATGCTGCGACACATTCTTGGTCATTTGGGACGTCAGAGTGTCCCCCTAATAGTTCTCTAACCAAAAATCTGCAACGATGTTGCTTCGCTGGTAACCATAAACTCAATGGAGAGATTTGTTGATTCTCACCAAGGGAACATGTCATTTCCCACAGATGGTGCTAATTGCTGAGAGAAAAATCCACGCGATCCGAAATAAAATCATTTTCGTGCAATATGACAAGGATGACATCACTTGGTATGGCACCGGTATGGTGCCGGCTAAGGACGCTCCGACGATCAAATCTCAGTCGATTGCGCAAATGTCGATTGAGAAGATCTAGTTTTATCTCTTCTAACAAATCTCTAGATAGAACATCATCTTCACTCACCAACTAACTGATAGACTCATCGTCGTCGTCGTCGTCATCTTCATCTTCATCTTCTGGAAGCTGGGATTTGAAATGAATTCCATAGTTATCTTGATTGGTCAGCGCAACTAGTCAATGTCAGATTATTTTTTCTTCAATGTAACAAGGTGAATTCTGCACCTAAGTTAAAAGTTGATTGATAATTTAAGCTGTAGTGTACCTTATGTGTTTGGTTGATCCTGTGTTTGAGTTCGACCTCACCTAGTTTGGCTCTTTTAGCTAATCTCAAGCTTGAGTTCAAACTATAATAAGAAAAAATTTAACTATAAGCGGAACAAGTTCTAATAAACGAGTCATATTCACAAGTCCTGGTGAGCAAATTCCAAAATACCCATTCACGACTAAGGTAGTGAACTAACAAGTTAGTTATATTCAGATGATTTTAGCCTTATTTCATGTTTTGCGTGTTGTGACAAAAATAGACATAGAAACCCTGTAGGAATTAAGACAACTACTTCTATTTAAAAAGGCTATATATAACCATATTAATTGAATGGCTAGTAAAAGTTTTCTGCTAATGTGTTTAACCACCCTCACTTGCAAAAATAGGCTAATCATTTAGTGGCCAAAAGTACCTCAATGACAATGGGTGGTCATTGTTTTAAGCCCTTCCTTAAATTACCTTCTCAAAACCGTAGCAACAAAACCCAAATATTGTTAGCCATATCTATCTTTACGCATTGCTCACACGCAAATCACACGCCAGACCATCCTCATTTAAACCTCCAAAAAAGGCAACCACAGTTCCATTCAAGGAAAAAGAAGACACATTAGCCATGTCTACTGTCTTCTTTATCTTCTCTCTTGTCCTCTCCCTCACCTTCCAACCCGGTCTGTTTGCCGCAGACCCCAAGGGTAATGGAAGCAACCAAATTTCACGTGCGTGTGAGCACTCTCCGCACAAGGAGTTTTGCCTTTCCGTCTTTCAGGCTGACCCTGCAAGCACAAATGCAGATATCAAAGGCCTTGCCACGATCGCTCTCAAGCTAGCTGTTAAAAATACCACTGAAATATCGGTCCGAGTCAAGAGCTTGCTTAGTGACGGCACTTTAGAACCCGGTGTGCAGGAGGACATCTATGACTGCAATAAACAGTACCTGGACGCGGTGGCACAGATTGATCATGCTGTGGTGGGTTTCAATATGAACGACTATCAGAATGTCGAGACTTGGATGAAGACTGCTGCAACTCAGATCCTCACATGCCAGAACAAAGTCAAGGACATGAAAAGCGGTGTTGCATTGGAGTTGTCTAAGAAGAGCCACGCTGCTCACCAGCTGATTAATACAGCTTTGGGCGTTGTCCATGCCGTGGCTCACTAGTGATGCCCTGTCATTGTGATCTTGGGTGCACGGATCCATGTCTCTATTGTCTTCCTGTTCTTATATAAATATGAAAATCAGTCAGTATACAGATTGATTTATATATATTCTCAGAAAATGGTTGTGAAAGTTGTGACTGACCAACCAATTTTTTAACACTAGCACATTTTTTTAGTCTGAGGAATAGAATGTAATGAAAAGAAAAGGAGGGTTAAAGCTTGTTGGTGGCTCATGTTGTAAGAAAGGCATGTATAGTGCATTTTATGGACACCGCACATTTGGCCATGAAATATGTGCGCGTGCAATCGTCAACAAATAATATAATGTTGCTTCTAGTTATATAAATTCCTTGCCACAAGAGACCAAGCTTTTATATATATAGCATTACATATGGATTTATTTGTTACCATGTTAAAGGACATTACTCATCACAGACAGACTTACTCCTCTCAGATTCGTCATGAGTCTCTCCAGTCATTAAAAAATCACAGCCTCCGATCCATTGCTCTCTTCGTGAATCGGTTAAAGATGAAAGGTAAGAATGCCTTCACACCAACCCCTCTACCCCCAGCAAATTACCATGAAGGGTTTTACCTTTGCCCTTCATTTTATGTCATAATTTGTTGCTGGATCTAGGTTCAAATGAGGGCCGTGAGAATTGGTGGGGTTGGGATAACTGGTGTTGGGTTTCAATTATTAGTCTGCAAATCTTAGTTTTTGGATTGTTTGGGCATGTTCTTCTTTCTTCACCATTTATTTTGACAATCAATTTTGGCCATTACTGATAGTGGTCATGGAGGAAGAGTGGATAACTAAATTTTTGCCTTTGATAAAGGACTTCGGGAAAGTTAATTGGTTAGGAAGAACTGTAAAATTACTTATGAAAGTAAAGCAATTATATAATGAAAAGTAAAGTGCAGTACTGAAACTAATCATATTAAAAGTGCATTGCAATGAAAAGTAAATTTGTATTGAAATGCTGTGTTTGGCATTGAGCCCTTATTACGTTATACATGATGACCTATTAATAGAATGAAAAATACAATCAGTTAGTAATAGCAGTTCCATTGATGCCTTCAAATGTTCCAAGTGTCCAAGCCATGCAATCGTGTCTTCTTGATTCTTCCAGAATTCCCACGTTCCTCTCCCACGTTCCAAACGTGTAACCGTGCGAACGTGCTTCTTATTCTAGTAGAGCTCCAACGTCCCAAACATAGAATCGTGTCTTGATTTTTCCCTGGAACTCTCACGTTCCAATGTGCCATCAATCATGCTATCGTGACCTTTGATGCTATTAATAGATCGCATGATTTCCTTTGTCTGAACAAACGGCCATCACGCCTACTTTCTTGGACGGTGGTAGTAGTGGCCCCAAACATGCAATTTGGTTATGGCTATTGTGGTTTTTGAGGAAAACCGACCTCCATATTTTTAGGAACTCCAATCTTTCCACGTTTAATAATAGACACGTTCCTTTGACCAAGTATCTTGTTCCTATGTGGCTTCTCCTGTGTTAGACTTCCATATCAATTTAACTGTCAAATAAATCGATACACATGCCCCACGTGTCTTATTTCAACTGGAGAAGTTGTTTTAAAACAAAAATCATCAACCACTTCTAATTAAAATTCCTTGAGTTTAGCCTTGACCCAAACTCCTTCATATATCACGAACCAGCTCAGCCCATAACTCCTTCCACGTGTGTATTTTCCATTGGGAGAAAATAAGGGTGTAAACATTGCCCCCCTAAATTCTTTGCCATTGTTTGCACAAAAAAAGGCATGGAATTTAAATAGACCCATTTCCTTCTTTTCTTCTGACATTGACAAATAAATCGTTAATTTCTTGGTCCCACCAAAATTCTTTTCTTGGAAAAAACTAATTCCTTCTAAATTGAAAGGGATAAACTGAGCTGTTCCTTGGGAACTCATCCATTCCTGAACCGGCATATAAGACTTTATCATTAAATGGACCCACTAAATCCATTTTGAAAATAAACTAATCCCTTGAAAATTGGAAAGGCAACTTATCTGTCTTCCATCTTGAACCAATTTTCCAGGCATCATAAATGAGAGGACCTACCAAATCTTACTTCATTAACAAAAAGAATAATTGCTAGATCTTGAAAAGGCAAGTCAGCCACCTCTTATATCTATCCAATTAAGTCTCCATAAATATTCACCTTCTTTAGCCGTTCAAATCTCCACGGGATGGTTCAACTTTTAATTTTTGAACAACCCTTATATCTCTCTTGCATATCTATCACAACTATAAATACATATCTAGTTGCCTTAAATATTCAAAACAAACTCTTCTTCCTCAACTTCAAATTGAGTGAACAAACCCTAGATATTTCTGTGATGGCTCCAAAACAAAAAGGGCTAACCAAGTCTACTACGAGTTTAACTGTGCCTGCTCCCTCTTCCGATCAAACCAAAACACACAGCCATAGCCACCTAGTCCAAAAAATTATTAAGTTAGTACCTGAATCAAAGATCACCTTCGATTCTTTCCATCACATTGGCCCCTTGAATGGACTAGGGCCTGCTCTCTTGAATGAATTTCCTTCATCTTTATCCGAGTTTTACCCTGCAGCAGAGGATGATCTTCCATTTAATTGGGAGTACCCATTGATCCTTGTCAAAGGAAAAAAGGTGAAGCCCACTCTTTGTCTCAAGAATTGGCCAAGATGCCATCCATTATGGAAGTCATGGGTCAATTGCCTCTCTGGTGATGACAAGATCGCCTCCACTTGGAAAAGGCAAGGTATTTTCAATGCCATTCAATTAAGCAAGGTATCAATGATTGAGGACAAGAACCTATTTTTCCCTGCTGTCTTTTTCTGGTCTAATGTGACCAATTCTTTACATCTCTGGAATGGAATGATGTCTGTCACAATGAGAGACATTTTCTGTATAACCGGTTTGAAACCTCATAGAGACGATATCAGCGCTTTGCTACATACAAGTTCTTTCAGCCTTCTTTCCTATGAGGATGGAAACAAAAAATTATATTCCTCTCCTGTCCCTTTTATGGAATATCACAACAAAAAGACTGGGCCCGTTACTTTAAAAGAGCTCACTGCCTTCTTGATTTGTTGGCTCTCTGGACACTTATTTTGTGTTCCCTTCGGACAAGTCACCAAGGATTTTGTCCAAATTGCCGTTGCTCTTGCCAAAGGTGCAGACTTGGCCCTTGCTCCTCTGGTTCTTTCTCACTTGTACTGAGGTATGAATGATCTTTTAGAGTTTAATTTCACTCGATTTGGCGGTCCATTCTGGATTTTCCAGGTGTGGCTGAAAATATATTTTCCAAGCTTGACAACTCCCATTTCTGTTCAACCTGAAAAATAGCTTTTATCTTATAGCTTTGTTGAAAGCAGGCCCACCCCCTTCTCTTTTACAGAAGTATTTCGTTTCTTCAATAACCATAATGACTTCAAGCCAAACTCATTCTTAGATCCTTTTTCCACTTTTGGACTGATGCCTTCTTGGCTTGTACCCTCCCCTGGAGTTTCAACCAAAAAGTCCTCTGATGATTGGAAGAAAATTTGGGCAAGCTTTTTAATCTATTGTAATTTGCACTATGGAACCTCCACTCCAACTTCAAAGAATAGTCGTTATGGGGTTAAGTATTACAATCCGGCTCAGTTCGCTAGACAATTTGGCTTGACACAACTCATTCTTTTGCCCCATTTCGAATCGGCTAATAGACTCTTGAACACGAGAGTCAAATTTACCGAGAATGAGCAATTCTAGGTAGTGGATGAAAAGTATGCCTTGAAGAAGAACTCCTTTGAATTTGAAGGCTTCAATAGTTGCCCAGAGGTAACCTAAGAGTTCATTGATTGGTGGACTGCCTATGTTAATTCAACCAGAAAATTAGCTTATGTAGAAGTTTGCAACAGGCTTTTGAACTTCTTTAAGCCTATCACACTGAGCCGTAAAGAAACATTCTCTGATGGTAAGCTTTCCATACCTTGAGTTTTTTCCAAACTAAACACATATCTGTTAATAAAAATCTTTTCTCTTTTATCAGACAATGATGATGATGACGCCGACGGAAAGGACAAGAATCCTGCCGACAAGAAAGGAAAAGTTGAATTGACTGCAGAAGTTGAAGGTATTGAAGGAGGTGGGGATAGTAATCCAGAAGGCTCTGGCGGTGACAAGCCTCTAGGAAGTGACAAAGGTGTGACCCTTATGAAGGTTAGGAAAGAAAAATTTCAAGAGGATGAGCACTATAAAGCAAAAGGGAAAAAGAAAGCTGTTTCTTCTTCTCGGGCATTCTATAAATACTCTTCTAATTGGCATAACATCCTTTTCAATCCCTTTCTTAATAACTTCTATTGGAATTTTCCATTTGACAGGCTCTAGCCATTGCCAAGAAAAAGTACATACCTCCTATCACTTTGTCGAGTGAGGATGACTCCTTTACCGCTTCTGAAAAGAGTACTTCAAAAAGGATTTCTTCAGTGAAAACTTCTACCAAGTACATAAAACATGCAAGTCCACTTGACCGAGATCGTCCCTTGAAAAGTAAAAAGAAACTCGTTGTGGACCCTGAACCAAATGAAGAGTCTGATTTCTTTCAACTAACTCCAAAAACAAACTTGGTGAGTTAGTCTTTTCTGCCCTTCCTTCAATTTGTACTTGACTAACTATTATTCCTTCTTCAAGAAGCTTCCACAGGCCACAATCTGTTAAACATTGCTTCGGAGAGTGTTCCATTAGAAAAACAAGACTTGGATCTCCAAAAGTCTATTGCTACAAGTTTAATTCCTCCACTCAATTTGGATAGCAATACCATGCCTACTTCAATTGATCCCATTGCGATTGTTCCTCCTTTGAAAGTTTCAACTGGACTTATTTCTTCCTTTCTAGAGGTAAACCCTTATTTCTTATATTTTTAATAACATTTCTTCAATTAAACCTAAACTGTTTCCTTTCTTGTGATATAGACAACTAATTCGTTGTCCCCCTTTACCTCCTTTATGGTAAAGAGAATAGCACTCCCAGCTTTAGATGACTTGTATAAGGTGGCTAAGGCCTCAAAATCTTCAAGAACTTCCACCTCTAGTGCTAGTATTCCTATTGTTCCTTGTCCAACTGAAGAGGCATTAAAAATTGCTAAAGCTTAGTTATTCCAATACCTTGAGAAGAATGTCGAAGAGATTCCTTCATTTCAACAAAACTTGATCACTGTCTTGTCTACATTGAAGAAAAATCCAAACCTTTCTCCAGAAATTAAACTCTCTTTAGGCCAATTGCAACACCAGCTAACTTTCATGGTGGCAAATATCAATTCTTTGGCAACGGCCACTGGTGAACTCAATCAGAAAATTCAGTTAAAAGATAAGGCTTCTGAGGATCTAAATAATTGCCTTCTTCCTTATCCAGAGATCAAAACCAAGTTTGAGCAAGTGGCTGATAAAAAGGAAAGTCTTACTGCTAAGATGGAAAGAATTCAAAAGGAATTGGAGAGACTTGAGACTGAAGAAGTTGAATTGGAACAGATTGCTTAAGCAATCTTTGCTGAGTCAAGCAAACATAGGAAGAGCTGGGAGGACCTTACTGAAGAAATTCCTCTTCTAGAAGAGGTGAACAACAAAGCTGTGGAAGAAGCAGATCAATCCAAGCTTCTTTAGGAAAGCTTCAAAGGCAAGTTTGCCTCCTTGTGAAATGATGTGGTTCTTGGTTAGCTTTTATGTCCCTTCTTGGACACTTTCTTTTAATGTAATAATCACAGGTGTTTTAGTTTTGTACACCTTCTTTTGAATGGCATGTAATGAAACTCTCTCATATATTGAGATGCCATTTTTAGTTTCATCTCTTCTTTGCACTCTCAAACCAAACTTTATTTAATTGAAACAGAATGCATAAAAATAAAAGGCATGATTTGAAAAATATAACTTGAGAACCATGAGTTGGTTCCAAATGTAATATTTTAGGAACATGAAATAACCAAAATACCTCTTGCTAGAATACTTGGTTGTTTTATTCATTTGAAAATCCTACGAAAATTCATAATTGCCAAGGCCAGTGAAATGGCCATTGGAAAAATTTCTAGCTTTCCCATAGGAAAATCCTCTTTCCCTTCCAAATGCAACTTTCCCTTTGGAAGGCTTGACCAACCGTTCATTCAGCTGGTCTTAGTATCCTTTTCTCCCATGCTTCAAAGATTGAAGGGTGGTATGGCTTCAAGTATACCCCATTGATGGGAGACGAATGAGGCTCACCATCTATATCCATCAACTGATAGGCTCCTTTTCCTAGAACCCTTTCAACACCCTTTCAACCAAGAAAGGTCCTTTCTGTTTTGGAGTCCACTTGCGATACTCTCTATCTCTAGTCCCGAGTGGTAATTTGACTTCCCAAACCATGTCTCCTTCTAGAAAAGACTTAGCCTTTACCTTTTTGTTATAGGTTCGCATTACCTTCTTTTTATGTGCAATGACATGGTCTAAAGCACTCAACCGTACCTCGTCAAGGTCTTCTAACTCTGCTAGCATGGCTTGAGTATATTCAGCTGGAGTTAGCTCATTCTGAAAAGCTACCCTTACTGACTTCACTGTCATTTCCATTGGAAGTACTGCATCATAACCATATGTTAACATATAAAGTGTAACTCTAGTACTTGATCTTTTTGAATTTCTATATACCCACAATGCTTCTGACAAAAGGTTATGCCACTGTCGTGGATACTTCTCAATCATCTTCTCAATTATGCCAATGATGACCTTGTTAGACGCCTCTACTTGTCCATTCATCTGAGCACAGTATGGAGTAGAGCTTGTGAATTAGATATTATATACGTTGAAAAGATCCTGCACCATACTTCCTAGAAAGGAAAGACTTCTGTCTGTGGTAATGGTTTCTGGAATTCCAAACCGGTGAATGATATGCTATAAAATCCATCACTATTGATTGTACACAAGATTTCAAAGGAATGGTTTCCTCCTGTTCATGCCAAAATCCTTACGACTCGGAACGGCAGTGTTTACCTGCAAAACAAAAGGACATCACCTCGAATGGCACCGGTGGGGTGCCAGCCGAGGACCCTCCGACGATTAAGTTAGTACTTGTAATCGTATCACATAATAATTATGTAAATTCTGTTTAGGGGTTTTTCTCGTACCTTCTTTAACGGCTCGGTGCCCTATTTATGGTTGTCGATTGGAATCAAATTGGTCCCGCAGGAGATCCACTTGTGCAAGATCAGAGGAGATCGTTTACTACCAGATTTGTCGAGGATATGATTTACTCCTTTGACTACCTCAAATTGTGCCAAGGTTATCCTTACCCTGTAGAACCACGTCATATTTCATTATCCTTGATAATGAAATATTATCAGTCTTATCTAATGGAAATATTTTCCCTATAAGTTGCCCCCCATTCCCAAGCTTGCTCGTCTAGATTTGGGAATGTGATTTTTTTTTTTTTTTTTTGCTTGCCCTTGGCACTGTTTCCTCGGGAATAGTGCCGTGGGGTTACTGTTCACTGGAATAGTAATTTTTTTTTTTTTTGCTTGCCTTTGGTACTGTTCCCTCGGGAATAGTGTCGCGGGTAATGTTCCCATGGGTACTCTTCCCTCGGATAATATTACCGTGGATAATTTTCCCTTGGGTAATATTCCCGTGGGTATTATTCCCTTGGGTAATCTTCCCTGAGGTAATATTACCGTGAGTAATCTTCCCTCGAGTAATATTCCCATGGATACTCTTCCCTTGGGTAATGTTACCGTGGGTAATCTTCCTTTGGGTAATCGTCCTTTTAGTATAGGATATTTATTTACTGTCCCATATAGTACGGGGATATTGATTACGGGATTCATTCAGCCCGGGTCCTTTTAGTAGAGGACATTTATTTACTATCCCTTATAGTACGGGGATATTGATTACGAGATTCATTCCGCCTGAGTCCTTTTAGTACAGGACATTTATTTACTATCCCTTATAATATGGGGATATTAATTACGGGATTCAGTTAGCCCGTCCCTTTAGCAAGGGAATAAATTTTACAAGCTTCACTCAGCTTATCCCTTTAGTGAAGGAATTAATTACCACATAGGTATAACACGTGAGGGGGAGGATCATTTTTTGACCTGACCTTTGTAGGTTAAGTCCTGATCTCTGATGACCATACTTTTGTCAGTTAGGCCCTGGTCTTGGTCTCTGATGACCAGACTTGGGGTGACCGGGTGATGAGCGCTGAAAAGTGCGTATTTAAACCCCTTAAGCTTAGGCATTCTATTACCTTTATCTATCTTACTTTACCATTTTAGATTAATTTCGTATTATTTCCATTTTCAAGCACTTATCCCGAAAATAAGCTAACTCAGCCAAATAAGAGCAGAAATGAAGCAATTCTGGAATAAATCAAATAAAGGAGCCAAGTGGAAGCAAAATGAAGAAAAATATGGAAATCAACATCTTCGATCGATCTCAGATCAAGGTTCGATCGATCCAACATGATCGATCTCAGCACTTCAAGATGGATCAGAGCCATGATGACATTTTTCAGATCTCAAAAGTTCGATCGATCCAACATCATTCAAAATATAATCCCCTTATCCAAATGATTGATCTTATTTAGTTGTACCACCCTACCAACCACTTTTGTCCTTTTCCCAAAAATATCTTCAAAATATCTCAGATTTGTCTTTATCCAAAAAGTGCCACCATTGAGGATCGATCCAACTTCAGTTCGATAAATCTCAGCCATGTTCGATCGATCCAAGTTCAAGGTTCGATCGATCGAACTTCCTCCAATGCGAAAAAGTTAAATTTGCAGCTCATTGAAAGTTGTCCTTTATTCAATCATTGGGGAATATTTTATGCACGACCCCAGCTCATTTTGGGTGTCATTTGACCTACCTAAATAAGGATAAGGATTACTTTTTACACAATATCATACCATATCACATCATATCATCTCATACCTTGTAAGAACTCTTGGAGAGCAAGCTTGGAGGAGGAGGAGGCTAGACACACCATTAGAGACTCTTCATTGACCAAGGAGGAAATATCTACCATGGAGTTATCCCTTGAGGGTTGGAGAACCACCACCATGAGTGGCTAGACATCCTCTTGGGGCTAGAGTTAGCCCCAAGCATGCTTTCTACATCTTGATTTTGTGTATTATTGAGGGATTAGTGTTGTAATACATGTTTTGACTTTTTTATATATATAGATCTTGTTTATTCAATGATTGATGTGGTTTAATGCTTCCAATAGATCATTTCATTCTATCCATATGTCTATGTATGCTAGAATAAATGTTCATGTATTTGTCTCTATTTCTTGTGTTATTGATGCATGTTTATGTGTATTAATGCCATAAATCTAGAAATTGTCAAAACATAGTGCTTAATGGAATGCTTTTGTAATTTTCTAGATGGTTCATGCTCATTTCTTGATGGATTGTGCCTCTCCCTTAGCTTAATTAGTTTAATTTTATGTCATTAGCTTAATTGTAGTGTAGTGGTAGCATAGTTGTTAGATGGGAGGACAATCCATGCTTGTTGTTTGATGTTCCATACTTTTGAACGCAAAAAACATATGTCTCTAACCTTGTGGTGTATTTGGCTTGTGAGCTTAATGAAAGAATTAATGACTTACTAGATATATTGTGCTTTTCACATGCTATTTAGACAATATATACTTAATTGCTAGATATATTGTGCTTTTCACATATAGATTAGACAATGTATGCTTAATTGGTTACCCTTACTAATTGAATCAACCAAACACACATACACATCAATATTGCAACACACATTTCCCTCATTAGTCACTTGTTAAAGGTGTAGAAAAGCATTGTTTGGTGGTGACCTCTAAACCCCAAGAACTCTCTCTCTCTCTTACTTATTCTTTATTGCATTCAATTATTTAGTTTAATTTGCTACCAACCAACCATTTGTTTGATCACTCGACCTACTAACCCTAATTGTGATTCCATACGCTAGTACGACTCCAATCCCTTGGGACGATCCCTACTCACTCTTGCTACATTAGTAGTAGTGGTTTCATAAATTTAAACTTGACCTAAAAGGCTTTTCTTGAACCGCACATTCACTACATTATTTTGGCATATATCAAGCGGCTTCTCCTCGTCACCGGGAACTGATCTTGGATGACCGAGCCTTTGTAGACTTTGGGCAATCAATTTTTAATCTTGGTTGACTAGGCCTTGGTTTTGGATAACCAAGCCTTAATTTATGATAACTAAGGGTTGTACCCTTCCCGGTGTGTAGAGACTTACTAGGTTATGGTTTCAGAGGATCGGGCACCGGTCTTAGACGACTAGTGCCACCGACGGGTCCTTAAAGGAGAGAGACTAGAAACCCGACTAGCTCGATATACCAAGGTTAGTATGTTAATCTTCTAAACCCTGTCATCATATGTAGATCAACGATTGATATCGTGTGATCCACTATTCTAGCCCCGATGGTGGGATCTTGGGTGATGACCCATTCTATAGGCGTTTATACAGCGAACGGAGTGCCTGGTGCTGCAACAATTTACAGTTGTCTAGAAACATTAGATTGTGTTGGAAATAATTACTGAAAATTAACCTGCAATGGATTATCAATCCAAAATCCTGCATAATCTGAAGTTAATAGGCAATTCCTGCAAGGGAAGAGAGGTGAGTGTCCAACAACTGGCTTGATGGAACTGCATAATCTGGTAGGTGGAGGCTTAGTGTCCAACAACTGGCTTGATGCTTGGTGGATAGGGGCGTGGTACCCAATGGCTGACAGATGATGATCTAGTGGCCAGTACCAGATGACGGTCTGGTGGCCAGTACCTCGTTGGGTCCAATGATCGCCCTTAACTTAGGAACCTCATTGAGAATACAGACCTCATTGGATATGGGATCTTGAGGGACATTGGACCTCCTTGGACCTGAAGGCCTTGATACATTATTGGGTGTAGAAGGCCACCCTGATTGCACGAACGGACGGAGTAATAAGACTTCGTTGCTAGAGACATCCTCAGTAATAGAGGTTTTACTAGTAGGTAGAGACACACTTGTTGGTAGTGATCTTCTTGATTGGTGGAGACCTACCCATTTATGTAGGTGCAGGAGGACCAGGCCTTAGTTTTTAATGATCAGACCTTGGTAATTGGCTGCTGCCTGATGTGAGATAGAGTCTGGTCTTAGACGACCAAACCTCAGTAGTGAGGGGACCAAGCATCGCTAGATGGAAAACACCACATTGGATTGCTTTGGTCGAGGTGCCAAATTTTGTTTATTGTCATCGTACACTGGATGGCATCACGCAACCCATCGTTCTACCCCCAGTATAATGGACGAGTAATCATGATGTAGAGACCCGTCCTTATATAAGAACATGGAAACCCGTTGTCAACTGATGACTTTGGGATGGTTTCCATGATCAGAAACTTTTGTCTTGTCGTCCGAGCCAAGTTGCGTTAGGATTATTATTTCTTCAGAGAACTAATCGGTTCCCACAGACTGCACCAGCTGTTCATGCGAAAATCCTCATGACTCGGAACGACAACGTTTACCTATAAAACAAAAAGACATCACCTCGAATGGCACCGGTGGGGTGCCAGCCGAGGTGGGGTGCCAGCCGAGGACCCTCCGACGATTAAGTTAGTACTAGTAATCGTATCACATAATAATTATGTAAATTCTATTTAGGGGTTTTTTCTCGTACCTTCTTTAACAGCTCGGTGCCCTATTTATAGCTGTCGATTGGAATCAAATTGGTCCTGCAGGAGATCCACTTATGCGAGATCAG